TCCTTGTTTTAGAGTAGAAACAGCTTAGAGAACCTAAAACCAAAAAAGCCAAGCCAGCTGCTGTCCAGTTGACTCTGACTCATGGCGGCCCCATGTGTGTCAGCGTACAACCGTGCTCCATAGGGTTTTCAATGGCTGATTTTTCTGGAAGTAGATCGCCAGGCCTTGCTTCCAAGGCACCTCTGGGTGGACTCGAACTTCTAACCCTTTGTTTAGCAGCCGAACGTGGTAATCATTTGCACCACCAAGGGACTCAGAAAAACTCAAGTGGCTGTTGATTTATTAAGACCTGGGTTCCAGGCAATGAGCAAGCTGGAATAAAGACACAGCACTCAGAGGGCTGAGGGTGGCCCTGGCAGAGAGTGAAGACAAGGGCCCTTGTCTTGACGGTGCCACTAGGCCCAGGGAGACTGCACCAATGGGATGGTTCCTCTCAATGATTCTCTCAAGCTTTTGGGCATCAGCACTGCCTGGATGTGGCTCTCCCCAAACCCAAGCCGAGGGCTGGGCCGAAGGTTCTGGAAGCCCTCATTCTGGGTTCATTCGGAAGGATGGCAAACCCAAGCCAAGTGTACCACCTGGAAGGAGCCCCCCAAATCCCCTGATGCCAAGTGCATCCCAATCAACCCTGTCACCTCAGGCATTGCAGCTCAGCGCACCTTTCTCTGAGCAGGCTAGGGAAAAACTCATGTGGGCAAAGGGAGTGGATGTCCAGCTTTTATAGTGGGGTCTTTCTGGAGCAGGCATTCCCAACTCTTCAGGTTTGGGGACCCCTGGTCCCACTCCCTCCATCTCCTCCTTCCAAAGCCCACCTGAAGGATCAGATGCAGGGGAGGGTGCGGGTTCACCTGGTGCCAGAGGTGGCGAGAAAAGAGGGACAGCAAGCCCTTATTTTCGCTCCCCGGGAAGCAGAGGAGCAACTGGTGGGGGCCAGGTGTGCAGAGATGCTGCCTGCTGGGGGAAGCTGTTCCCCTGACCACGCAGCAGTTCCTAACCTAGAACATTCCATTCGCTGCCCAGTCTGTGTAAAGGGCTCCTTCCCCACAAAGCCTGTCTTCATGGAGGAAGGGAAACCTATTCCCCAGGCCTTACGTGGGGACGCCCAGGGCTCTCCCGCCCAGCCCCAGGCCCTGCCGTGCCCCTGCGCCATCACAGTGAACCCTGAAACAATGGCCGATGAGTACTATTCCTGCCCCTGGGGCCACGCCAGTGCTTGCCTCAGGCCACAGGGGCCAGTCTGAAAGTGGTCACCGCTCGCTGGGCACTGAGCATCCTGAGTGTCACCCTCACACTGGGTCCCAGACCTCAGCCCGTAGTCGGTGCTCACCAGACACTTTTCGGGAAACTATGTGGTTCACCTTATTCTGCTTAATTCTTGCAACAAGTTGTACTACTATCATCCCCATTTCACAGCTGAGCAAACAGTGGCTCACAGAGGTTAAGTCCCCAAACCATGGGCACAGTGAGGATACGTGGAGGGGTTGGGAGTGGGACCTCGGTCTTCAGGGCCCCAGGGAACACGCCTCCGGCCACCCGGAGCCCTGTGCAGACTCAGGAAGACGGGCCGCCTGAGCCTTCCGAGGCCCCTCTGCACAAGCTCCAGCAAAAGCCCCAGGATGGGAAACTGGTCTATCATGGTGGCATGTGGATCCCCCAAGCCCCCACGGCTGGTCCCCACTTTGCACCCTGGGCAGGTGGTGTGACCCTGTATGAGCCTGGAGTTTTCTTCTTGTAAAAAAGGCATTGAATCAGCTGCCAAGGAAGCCAAGGTGGTTTCTCTAAGTTGCTTGAAATTCTCATCATCGGCCAGTCCCCAGGCAGGGGATACGCTCCCTCGTGCTTCCAGCCCCTTCCCGGTCGCCAGCTTTAGCCCTTCCCCCGATGCTCGGCTGGAGCAGAGGCCATCTGCAGAGGGCGCTGTTTTGCTTGTTTTCTTCCCTTTCCCATCTTTCCACTTGCTGAGGGTAGGATGAGATGACCAGCTGTGGGGTGACCGAGGGACAAGGAACATGGTGCAGGAGGCTTCGACTCCCCTGTACCATGACCGACAGTCAGGCAGCATGACAACACAGGTGGCAGAAAGGTTTGCCGCCTTCTCCTTGGAAAGGTCCTTGGATGACGCAAACGGTTTACGCTCAGCTACTAACCTGAAGACAGGCAGCTTGAACCCACCCAGCGGCACCACAGAAGAAAGGCCTGGCGATTTGTTTCCGTAAAGATTAGAGCCAAGAAAACCCCATGGTGCACAGTTCTACTCCGACACACATGGGGTCGTCATGAATCGGAATCGACTCAACGGCCACTGGTTTTTTGGGTTTCGCCTTGGAAAGCAACGTGGGTTTGTTTCCATAACCTTCAATGGGAAGGAGACGGGATGGGTACAAGGGAGGGAGGAGAAGTCTGCGTGCTGGGAACTGGCCTCAGAAACCCAGAGCCTGGGGCTTTAAGAGGAGACACAGGGATGACAGCAGTCCCGAAGTGTCTCGGCTGAGAAACACCGAGTCCACAGTGCTGTGGGTGTGGAGGCTGTGAGGGAGTGAGGGGGTCGTTTTCAGCACGTACTGGAAGCCCCTAGCGGCCCAGCTCTTAACCAGGGGCTAAATGCCCAGCTCTGCCTGCCCCAACAATGTTGAGAGCAGAGGGCAGAGGGCAAGGGCAAGGGCAAGGTCAAGAACAGGCAGTAAAAGCTGTAGAGAGGGCAGAAGTGTAAAGACCACGGTTTGCCTCCTCCCCTATTTGTATCAGTTAAAGAGTGTTTATGGAATAGTGAGAGAATCCAGCCCCTTGTGTTTCCTGCATTCCAGGACTATTTACATTATCTCCTTGACTTCTGCCTGCAATCTAGAAAGCTTTTATCAGGATTCTTGCTAATATCACTGATGTCTAAGAACTGCCGGCTTAGAAACGCCACGGAACAAGAAGGAACTCGCTCAAGATGTCAGGAAGTGGGGAGCTGTGATTCAACATCAGATTCTCCCCCTCCCGAAGCCACGTCCTTCAGTCCCACACGCAGGAGCCCAGCTTCTCCCAGGACCAGGCTGCAGGACTGCCTTCTGGGAGGCCAGCCCTACTTGGTCTGTCCACGGTGACGACCACCTGCCCGCCCGCAAGGACGGCCGACTGGCCAGACCCAGCCCTCCCCTCTACCCTCTCGAGCCCAGCTCTCCCACGTCCCACCCACTGCCACGTAAGTGTCCCTGGGAGATCTTCAGGAAGAACCTGGGAAAGGGCTGGCTTCTGTTTCACCTAGTGACAAAGTCTTATCTCACCTCTTTAGAAAGAAAAACGAGAGGGAGTCTGATAAATTCTCCTCTGGTGGAGTGGGAGAAGTGGGATGTGTATGTGTGTGAGTGTGTCCCTGTGTCTATGAGTGAGTGTGTGTGCCTGTGTGTGAGCGAATATGTGTGTGCGGGGGTGAGTGTATCTCTGTGTGTGTCTGTGTGTGCAGGAAAATATTCATCAGGTTCCCCCCACCACCTTCCTTCCTCTGTGGGAGAATGGAGGTTGTTCAACTCCTGGCAGCCCAGATGCCCCGTCCTGGGAACCTGGTCTAGTCCTGTGTCTGCCGTCCACCAGTGCTGATGACATGAAAGATGTGGACCACCTGACATGGGTGTTCCCAGCTCCAAGTTACCTGCCTTTATTGAAGCTGGTTATAGGAGGGAAGGAGTCCCTGGGTGGGGCCAAGGGTTCACACGCTCAGCTGCTAACAGAAAGGCCTGCCGATCTGCTTCCGAAGCCTCAGCTTCTGACACACAGGGTTCGCCAGGAGTTGGAATAGGCTCCACAGCAACCAGTACCGGTTACGGGGGGTGGGAGGGAGGTCTGTACTTTTCATTTCATGAAATCAAGCTTGGGAATGGGGCAAGGGGTGGTTGGTGGCTTGACTCTCTCCGCCTCTGAGACCCAGGGACCCCAGCCTGCTGGTGCCACTCTGAGGCTGTCTGGGACATCTCCCCCCTTGCCTCCTTCACTTGGGGCGGCTCCTTGGGCAGCAAGGTGAGAAACAGCAGTTTTACGACATCCCTGAAAAGCCCACCTCTGCCTAGGAGCAATGTCCTCAGGTGAGCTTTTCCCCAGGGATTTAGGGGGTGGGGAGCGAAAGGGCCCCCCACCAGCTTTCCTGTTGCCCCTACCCCAGTCCGAAGTCAGGGTCCCGGACGCTCTGGACCAGAAAAGAGGCTTAGAAGGGAGGCGCCACAGACAAAGGGGTCTGCGCTGGACGCCTCTCCTACGGGACACAAGTTGGTTAGGGACACAGGACTTCATACCTCCAAAGAGGAAGGCAGATGAAGCGCAGAATGGGACCAGCGACCACCACAGCCTCCGGGGAGGGGGGCGGGCCGGAGGCAGACTCTCCGGGAGAGGTCAGCGCTGACCCCCTGCGGGACCGGGACGCCACAGGGCGGCGACTAGCTCTGTGCTGGCTCAGTCCCGCCCCGCAGCACCTGCTCCGGACCAATGCACAGCGAGCGGCGGCCGGGACCCCCTCGGTGGTCGGTAAACGCGGGGCTGTCCAGCAGGCCCGCCCCCGGCTCGGGGGAGGGGGAGGTCCGCTCTCGGGGGCGTCTCACCGGAAATTAAAGGCTTTACGTGACAGCCGTGAATGTAAAAATCCCAGCCTCATGCGGTTTTTAAAAAGAAAGCTCTGCCCACGAAACGGAAAAAAAAAAAACCCTCCCCTCGCGTGGCGCACCTTTTCCATGGGACCACGGTGGGAGCCCCAGCGTGGGGACACCTGCCCCGTAGCTCCCCCAGCCGAAGTTGTCCGCGCGTGGCGCGCGGCGCAGGAGGCCGCAGCCCAGGACCTACCGATGCGCCGACGGACTCACGGACAGGCGGCCTTCCCCCCACCCCCTGCGCCCCGCCGCCGCGTCGACCTCAGGGCGCAGCCATCCGAGAGTGGGGACTTGGGGGGCGCCGCAGGCTGGGCACAGCGTGGGGGGAGGCAGAGCGGAGGCGAGGAGGAGGAAGAGGGGGGAGGAGGGGGAGGGGGCTACCTTCTGGATGCGGCCATCGATGTCCAAGTAGATGGCCTTGGGCCGGTAGCTGGAGGAGCCGGAGCCCATGGTGCACCGAGCGGCTGCACTTGGACTTTTCGCGTACTTTCTCCCTGCCAGCCGCGGGTCGGGAGGGGGAGGGGAGGGAGGAGGCGCGGGCGGGGGCAGGACGCGGCGACCAGCCAACCGGAGCGGGCCGCCAACGCCGCGCGCCCGAGCGCACCGATGCCACCGCCGCGCGCCGCCTCCTCCTCCGGCCGCCGGGGCTCTGGCGCCCCCGCCGCCGCCTCCCTCTTCTCCCGCTCCCTCCCTGCGCGCCCTCCTCCTCTCTCCTCGCTCTCGCACCCTTCTCTCCCGCCCTTTCTCCTCCTCCCTCTCTCCCTTCCCCCTCCCTCTCTCTCTCCTCTTTCCATTCAATACCTTCACCCAGCCCCCAACATTTGGGCACAACCCCCTTTGACTCCTGATGCCTTGGGGAGAGCAACAAATCAGCCTCCCACTGCCCTCTGGACAGATTACTATCGCGACCCACCTTGGTCACCTTCCCACCGTTGGGCAGTCATCCGCAAGCTCCGGGCTGAGAATGGGGCCCCCGGGCAGCCGGCCGTGGTTGGTGCCCGAAACTACGCCCCAGTTAGCAATAGGAAAATTCCCCTCGGATGCGTCCCTCCCTGCTGGGATTGTCACGGTAGCTTAATTCAAACAGGAAATGGATAAGTTCCTTCTCATTCGCCCTGTCATCCCCCCAAGCTTTGTACATGCCAGGGAGTGACAGCCAGCTGCAGTGAGAGCTGAAATGGCAGTTTTATGTCTGTCCTTAATGTAGCTAGCGGAGGCCGACCCAGCCACAAAGTAGCTACTGGGTTCAGCTTGTCAACCCTCCTCCCTGGCTCCTTTGTGAATTGCAGCCCGGAGTGTGGGAAAGCCAGGAGCGAAAAGAAGTGACTTCAGGTGTCTTCCGACTGGTAGGTCGCAGTGGGAGTGGCCTTCGTGGTCCCCTGTTCTCAGTGGGGACAAGTTGAGGGAGTAGTCAGTGCGTGTAGGGTGCTCAGTGCCCGCTGCTTTGGAAGTGGAGGTCGAAACCAGCCGGGACAGTGCCCTGATGGTCTAGTTCTAAATGCACTCCAACCACCACTTTCCATCTGTCAGGTGTCTGCCTGAGAATACCTGGTGTCCACCGACTCCTCCCTAACCTGGGGCTCCTCCTTTGGCGGCCTGTGGGGCCGACCCCATGGCCAATGGTCACTGTTCTTCCCTTCCCTGGCCATGCCGGCTGCCCCCTGGTGGACAGCCACTGCCTTTACAGACTCCTCCCCTGGAACCCTGGTGAAGGCTGGAGGCCTGGGAAAGTGAGAATTTCAGGAGCAGGCATAGCTCCCTCCTGTCCATGAGGGTGAGTCGTCATTGCTAGATGTCCTCAGCCTTTGGACAGCCCCCATGCCACTTTTTGTCCCCCATGCTGGATCTGGCACTGCTCTCATGGAGGGGAAGAGGATCTCCAAGAAAGATGGCGGTGGTTTGACCACCTTGGCCCACACCTCCAGGGTCTCTGGATGGTGCAAGTGGTTAAACACTTGCTATTAACCAAAAGTTGGCAGCTAGAACTCATCCAGAAGCACCTTGGAAGACAGGCCTGGTAATCTGCTTCCAAAAGTTCACGGCCATGAAAACCCTATGGGCACAGTTCCACTCTGACACACGTGGGGTCCATGGCAACTGGTTTAGTTGGGCCCATAGCTTGGGTTCCATTAGTTTTTCTTTGCAAGTGACGGGGGCTTGAAGGGAGCTGCCTGGAGGGCTTTGAAGGTAGGGGCGAACCCAACTGGGGGATTACAGTTGGCCACCTGACTCATGACTGTGATAATACGCCTGCAGAAAATTCTGTGAAGCACTATTACTATGGTTCAATTTCGTTGTCAAATGCTCTGGAGCCCTTGAGCTAGTCCAGTGGCCTCGTTCTTGGTGTTGCCTGTGCTGCTAGCATGGCGTCCTCACAGCCTACTAATTCTCCACTCTTTATCGTCTCCTTTCGTAGTCTTCTCAAATCATTTCCTCCTGAACCAAAAAAAAAAAAAAAAAATTCAAAAAACCATTGCCATTGAGTTGATTCCAACCCATAGCAACCCTATAAGACAGAGTAGAACTGGCCCATTGGGTTTCCTAGGCTGTAAATCTTGATGGAAGCAGACTGCCACATCTTTCTCCTGTGGAGCGACTAGTGGGTTTGAACCATTGATCTTTCATTTTGCAGCTGAGCCCTTAACCTGTGGCACCAGGGCTCCCATTTCCTGCTAGATCCCCAGAAAGATGAGGGCCCAAACATGGAGTGTGACTCTGCAGGGTGACTTAGCAGAGATAGAAGGGTGCAGTTGCATGACGCTGTGGGTACCCCACGCCCTGACCTGGTGTCCTCATTCAGGCCTGGTTGGCTCTATATTCTGAATAATAATCCTTCTTATAATTATTTTACATTTAACATCTCAACTCTCAGGAGACAGACAAGACTGCTGTATGATGATATTTAATCTACCAGACAGCCACTGGAGCCCCAAAGAGGAGACATGTGCTATTATTCCATTTCTGTATGGAGCTACGGTTCTTCTGTTCATCAACAATTCCGTTACTGTGTGTTGGGTGCTGTTCTAGGGACTGGGGACCTGGTAGTGAAAAAAAAAAAAATTCCTGCCCCAGGTGCAAGATTCCCGAGTGGTGCAAATGGTTTACTCCCAACTACCATTCAAAGGGTTGGTGGTTCAAACTTACCCAGCAGAGCTATGGAAGAAAGGCCTGGCGATCTGCTTCTGTAAAGATTACAGCCATGTAAATCTTATGGAGGGCAGTTCTACTCTGTAACACGTGAGGTCACTATGAGTCGGAATTGAAACAATGGTGGTGGGTTGGTTTGGTGTTGGGTACTGTTCTAGGTCCTGGGGACACAGTCGTGAGCAAAATAAACAAAAATCCCTGCCCTTGAGCAGCTGGCATTTCAGTGGGGTGGACAGACAAGAAACAGGATAAAGAAATACAGCATGCAGCATTGCTAGATAATAATTAGTGCAAAGAGGAAAAATCGTGCGGGGGAGGGGGAATACAAAAGGTGGCGTGTGGGCGAGGAAATTTTAGAAGGGTGGCCAGGGAGAAGGTCACATAGCAGCGACAACTGGAAGGAGGTGAGAGAGCAAGGAGACTGTGCTCACTGAGGGAAGAACCTTCTAACAAAGTGTCCTCTCCACGCACCCCACCCACCATCAAGGCCCTGAGGCTGGAGTGAAGAGAAGGAGTGCGCAGTTGGGGGACAGTAGTGGGAAGTGTGATCAGAGGTGATGGGCTGGCAGAGACTCTTGTCAGTCATATAAGTAACTTGACTTCCCTTTGCAGGGTGTTGAACAGAGGAGGGATACGGTCTGGCTTGGGTTTTAACAGGATCCCCCTGGCCACTAGGTGGAGAATGGGCTGAAGGGGGCAGGGCCGTCACAGGGTGATGGGTGAGGAGGTCGTTGGAATAATCCATGGAGACACAAGGGTGGCTTAGACCAGGGTGGTGAGAAGTGATTGGACTCTGAGTCCAGTTTGGAAGCTGTTTGGATCTTTCATGCTGCTCCTTTCTTTTTTTTTTTTCTGGAAATATTACTTACTTATTATTACTGTTAGTAAGTTCGGTCAAACTCAAGCTTAAGCTTGATTGAGTTTCAAGACGGATTGAGGTCAAACAGCTCCAATTACCCTCTTCTCTGACTGCAAAAAAGAAAAAGAAGCCATATACCTTTTCTTTTCTTTTTTTCCCCTATTCCTCTCTCCCCCCTGCCCCTGCTAACCACTAATCTACTCTGGTCTATATGTATTTGCCTATTGTAGATATTTCAAGGCCAATTGCTAGAAAAGGATATAATGTTTAGTAGAGGACCAACAAAAACAAGGGAAACCCTCAATGATATGGATTGACACAACAGCCACCAGCAATGAGCTCAAACATACCAACGATCATGAAGATGGCTCAGGACCAGGCAATATTTCCTTCTGTTAGACATAAGGTCACTGTCGTAGGCTGGGTTCTCTAGAGAAGCGAAACTAGTAAAGCATATAAATGTACATATAGAGAGATTTATGTCAAAGAAACAGCTCATGCAGTTGTAGAGGCTGGAATGTCCCAAGTCTGTGGATCAGGATAGAGACTTCTCCAGATTCACGTAGCTGCAGGAGCTGGCAAACCCAAGACTGGCATGTCAGAAAGCAGGGCTCTTGCTCACAGGCTGTGAATATTGACAAATCCCAAGACTGGAAAGCAAGACCACAAGGCTTCTCCTGATTCACGTAGCAACAGGGGCTGGCGAACTCAAGATCGGCAGTTTGGAGAGCAGGGCTCCACTCACAGGCTGTGAAGATCAACGAATCCTAGGATCAGCAGATAAGTTGATAGCTCAAGTCCCAAAAACCAGAGGTCAGACGAAAAGGAAGCAGCCGCAGGATCCAGAGTGAGCAAAAATCCAGAACGTCTCCTTATATTTGGATGCAGGCCACACCTCCAAGGAAACTCCCTTTCACCTGATTGGCTATTCACAACAGATTCCGTCATTGGAGTGATCACATATAAACACTGAGAATCGTGGCCCAGCCAAGTTGACACACAATCTTAATCATCACAGTCACCATGAGTTGGAGCCGACTCAATGGCAAATAACAGCAACAACAACAAATATTTCATATGAAAGAGATCATACACTATTTCCTATTGTGTCTGACTTGCTTCACTCAGCAGGATGTTTTCAGGGTTCATCCATGCGGTGGCATGTATCAGAACTTTATTACTCTTTATGGCTGAGTCATATTCCATTGTATGTACAGGCCACATTTTGTTTATCTATTCATCTATGAATGGACACTGAGTTGTTTCGACTTTTGGCTGTTGTGAATAATCTACTTGTTTCTTACACTGGCATTATTTCTACTCTCGGCTCTCCTTCCCTTTCATATAATGTAGTTCAACCTGAATATATGCTCCTTCCCCCTGGACGGCCCCTTTGGGGAAGGTTCTGGAGCCAGCCTCACTTGGTGCTCTCCATCCCTCTCCT